AGTAGCGTGGCACTTGTTACTAGTAGCGTGGCACTTGTTACTAGTAGTAAGGCCCTTTGCTCCTAGTAGCTTCTTGCTCCTAGTAGTAGGGGTAAGGCCGTCCTTTGTTCCTCTCTCGTCTCTCATCACACATCGTCGCAATCCGAAATCTTGAACGTCAAGAACTTGAGACTTGAGGCGTCGGCTTGCTTCAAGCGCAAATCCGAAAAATGACATGCTTCACATGACGTATTCTTTGCACCTCAGAACAACACACTTGCGTGGCTATTTTACAGTAGCACGTCTGCGCAGCACTCGTGCACGCGCACGGCAGTCTTCATCTCCCGCCTTTATGGCATATTCAATCCTTGCAGCTCTTTGCAAAGACTCTCCACCCAGAAGATCATCTTCTTTCTGCGCCTTTACGACTTCAGCGACTAAGCACTGCTGCATATATATACACATATATTTATATATACAATTATATACACAATAAACAGAACCATTCAAACTTTCCGCACAAAGAGACACAAAGCAAAGAAACATAGCAAGAGATATAGCTTAAGATTATGCTGAAGAAACATGAATTAGAAAAGCCAGCCTCTGCCTGAGCAAAACGCCACACTGCTATCCCCAGGGCTTGGCGCATCTGGGAGACGAAAGCGTACTTCGCCCGATTTTTGAGATTTCGTAGCGTTTTACGGAGATTGTTGAGTAACAAGAAGCTACTAGGGGCTCCTGGCATCGCTACTAGGAGCAAGGACGCTACTAGGGGCTCCTGGCCGTACTACTAGTAACAAGAAGGTAAGGCACTTGTTCCTAGTAGCGATGCACTTGTTCCTAGTAGCTGTTTTCCGTTCGTCCCTCGTTCTTTTGTCCGAGATGAGCCGACGCCTCATGGCCGTCGATTCGTGCAAAGTCACGGAGCCAAGTCACGGAGACTTGATTCTGACCGCTCTTGATAGTCGTAGGTTGGAGGTGGCAATTTGTTTGCTTCGTCACTTCGCACTGTCCAGAGCAAAGGCCGAGCATTTTTAGCTGGCGGCCTAGTACTGCTCATTCGCCAAAGCTTCGCGAAAGCTGTTTGCTCGCTTTGCTTAGCTGGTAATGTACAAAGAAACGCCAAAGAGCTCAAGACTTGTTCAAAATGCTTTCATGCTTTCAGTTCAGCTTCCTCAAAGCACATCGACGGCACTAGTCATTTCCGAAAGAAACATGAAATGCCTCGAACACCTGGGGCATTGAAACATGAAACATACGACTGAGGCAAATGCCGATGTCCAAGATAATGGCCACGCCAGCCAGAACCCACTTTGCAGCGGGCTGCTTCGTACGAAGCTGTGCGACAAACACAAAGTGGGGCCTAGAGGCAAACAAGAAGCACACGACAAGCGAGAAGTACAGCTTCGGGAACCAAAGTTTGAAAGAAGTTTGAGGTAAAGTGAAGAAAACAAAAAGAGGCGGAGGCCGCTATTACATCGTTTCATCTGCGTTCAGCTCTTTTGCCGCACCTCCGGGTAGGCACGCAGTAGGTAGGACAAAGGTAAACGTTTTTGTCTTCTCTTTCTTGCTGAAGACCAGCCTTGGGCAATCTCTCCAAAAATGGCAGTGTGCAAATGTTCTAACTGGAGGCCATTTCACACAAATGCTGAAGAAGTTTGAGAGGTGATTCTTCCAATCGGATGTTTGTGGTGTGATGTCGATGTGAAAAAGGTGTGAAAGCGGCAAACATAACGCTTTTGTCAGTCCTTCGAATCGTGCCAAAGCGGCAAAGGGGCAGTACGTCATGAGTGCAGTGTCTTCAGTGACTGTGTCGCACAAAGAAAAGCGGTGAAGTACAGTTTGTCATATAAAGTACACGTGTGGCGTGTAGTGGGGAGTGACGTGGTGTGTAGTGTGGTGGTTTGTCTGTGGCAATTGCAACCTAGTAATTGTGAGCTTAGTGATCCGAGATGTGATGAAGTGCAACGTGGTAATGCGGCATGAGGTGATATTTGATTGTCAATGCTTCTTGCTTCACACGTGTGCTTCCTGAAACTCCCTTATTGCACTACACGTCTTTAGGTGCCTGGAGTTTCTTAAGACTTTTCTGGAGATCTCTGGGACTTGTGTTGAATTGCATGATTCTACCATGCTCTCCTAGAGAAATATGAAATATATGATATATGTATATGTGTGTGCGAAACTACGACTTTGCTCACCAGGCTCGCCAAGGTTATCACTGTTATCTACACATTTGGGATCTCGACCATCTGCACCGTGCTCTTGAAACCTCTACAGTTCCATACTTGTCTCCGGTAACTTCTATTGTCTTCACTGTTCCCTAGAAGGCTGTCCTCAATGTTTCCACGAGGTTTTGAAAAAGACAGCGCTAGTCTTTGCAACTGGTTGTCGCAATCCCGAAGGCCCTCACACATGACTACCAAAAAATGATACAATACGTTTTGACCCAGCAGCCCCGTCAGCTTTGTGTTTAAATGCGCGCCTTGCATGTGCAGCTTACATTTCGTCTTTACAAAATCATTGACAATGTCTTTACCAAGGAAACAAAAACAATAAACATTTGTTGGTAGAACTCTTGCTATCTGTGTTCTTTCTGTCCAGTCGCCTTGCAGTTGATCACAGGCAATCGAGTGAACATCTCCTTGGGCCGACTGTCCTGGAAAGGCACACAGAATATCATGATCAGCGCGTGGTGAAGGACAAACATGACCAAAACGAGAAACAGTGCAAAGTTGCCAAAAAACAAAAAACGACCCCAAGGAAGCAATGGAAAATAAAAATGTGGTGCTAAACATCTAATATTGGATTCAAAAACTATTGTTGGCAAAACCAATAGCAAGAAAAGTAAAAACAAACCCGGGAAAACCTCCCCC